TTGATTTTTCTTTAATAAAAACACGATTTTTATAATTTTCAGAGGTTATCATTTTTCGAGTGAATTGTCAATTGATTTTTCTTGAATAGAAACATGATTTTTATAATTTTTAGAAGTTGTAATTCTTTGAGCGAATTTTCAATTGACTTTTCTTTAATAGAAACATGATTTTTATAATTTTCAGAAGTTATAATTCCTCGAGTGAATTTTCAATTGAGTTATCTTTAATAGAAATATAATTATTATTCACAGCGACTTTGGACGTGAAAAATTTTGCGAGGAAAAATTCAGTGTAATGAATAATTTCCGTGTACTGAATAATTGAGCATTCAGGTATACGTAGTTATTAGTATAAATAACAACAATCAGCAACATACTTGAGCTATATTTTGTTTGCACCTTGACCGTCATAACATGCTTTCACAACTAGACTCGACGGAGGCATATGAATCGCGCTTCTTACGTGTAAAAATAGATCATCTGGGTGGGACACTGACCTTGCTATTGCGTAATATGGCATAATCCGAAAGATGCGAAATAATAATAGCGTCAGTCGAATTACGCCGCGTACATTACAGCGCGTCGCGCGAGAGGTTGAAACGTCAGATTTCGCCCGGATAAAAATGTCTTTAACTCAAAAAGAAGACAGAGTTAAAGGCGTGAAGCTAAAATCGGTATGTTAATGAACAATGATACTTTCGAAAATGTGAAACGGAGGATTCGAAATCGTTCAGTTTAGATATCACGGGCGAAATGATATTGGGCAGTGCGCGATAAGAAAGAATAAACAGATTAATTGTACTGACTTTGCCATCGTGTCCACAGCAACCAGATTGCTCTTTATTTTTCTTTGATTATTTGTTATTGCGTTAACACGAATGTGACAGATGATATTTTAAGTTCTTTACGCAATCGATTATTATTCGCTTATTTTTTACTTAAATTGTTGCGCACTCTTGTGCAAAAATTTACATATTTATCGCGTGGATTAAGGTACACGTTACGTAATTACGATTGCATATAAAGTGCACATAAATAATTGATAAAATGAATTGACTAAATAACACATTTAAATACAAATAGAATTAATATAATATGAGATACGATAAATTATCAAAAATATTTCTTTGCTCTCTATGTTAATTAAGATAAATTCTTACATTTTTTAAATATTAAGTAGGTAGTTCGAGAATTTCTTGTAGCACGAAACGTGTATTTCGTATCTAAGATAACGCAGAAGAGCGATAAGGGCCATTTAGTGCTCTCAAAATACGCTTCGTCTGCACAAGCAATCGCGCGATTTAATGGCGCAATTTGCAAAGAAAATTTATCGACTCTCTCGCTCGACACGTCTTCGCGAGCCCGAGCCCCGTGGAAAGTTTCGTGAAAGTCATTGTGACAGAAGCTGGCCGAAATCCTTCTGACCGATTGACGCGGATCCGAGCGATCGCATATACAACGCCTAAAAATACACGGTGAGGTCACTCGCGCGGTACACGCGACATTCCGTCGGCAGTCAACAACTGAGCTGCTTTACGAGCGAGCGACGTGCGAATTTCTATGCGTGATACGCGAACGCGTCGAGTGGCGAACACCAAGGGAATCTCGCGGCTAGCTCGCGTCGCGACGCGATATCTATCGCGCGCCGGAATTTGCATTCGGCGATTTCCAGGTCACGTTGCCCAGCGAGAAGGTGACTTGTCGATTCGACGTCGATCGACGAGTCATTTCTAACCGGCTGGCGTCTGTCTGAAGGACGGAATCGGAAATGAGGATGACTCGAGTGTCGCTTTCTGCCGATCGTGTAATTTCACGGCGATCGAAAATACGCTTTCGAAGTACCTGCGGCGGCGCTACGAATTTCTGCAATTAAAGGAAGTTACGAAACGAAGAGTAACGTAGCCTAACGCAGACGGATGCGTTTCTCGACTTGTCGAGGCACATAAATGTTTAACTTTGAATTTATTCAAAGGTTCACCACTCGTCTCAATCATTAACATAGAGTCGCGCGTTGCTTATAACCGATCGGTTTTATCGATAACGATGCAATTCATCTTCATAATCGTCGAACTCGACGGTCTGCGAGTACGAGGAAATTTTTTGCAAAATTTCACCAGCTCCATATCGAAAGAGTAAAATCTGGGACGATCTGAGTTCTTAATTTCTCTCACCGCACTCTAACTTTCGTGGGGCCTTAGGTGTTTTATATAAATTGCGTAAATTGCGACACCGTAGCGTTGGGTTTTTAAATTAAAAAAAAAACTGTTCGCAGGAAAACGCGGGCCGCAGCTGACTCCGGGTTTCCTCGAACGCGTATTTTATCCTGTTGACGCACGCGTTAACGGCATGCAAGGAGACTTCAACGAACATGCAGAGATAGCCTCGCGTGCTAATCTGGAACGCTAACAATTGCGAATTTACGCGGAAAGGGGGAAACGAGTTTCGCGCGATCTGGAAGGAGAAAACGGGACGAGGGAGGTTTCTCGCGGCGGACCGGGACGTCGTGAACCACGGTGAATTCGGTAAAACGATTTGCACAAAGGAATCGGGGAAGTATCACTACGATCGCACGGCGCAATAAAATGGCTCGCGAACGATAAGATAACGTTTCCGGCAGCGAACAATCAACGTCACGTCCTAACTTGGCGTGCCGAGGGACTCTCGGCGAGGTCGGAGCCATCTTGAGTGACCGATCGTGTTGCCGATCATCCGATCTTGCGTCGCCAGCCGAGGCCAGGAGGCGTCTCGCGTCCTGGCTCCGTCGCGATCTGAGCACTCACCTGGTCCGCGGGACCGCTGTCGACGTGCCAGAGAAAACGCGATCCACTCGCAAGGCGCACGATCACGCGGCGCAATATGCGCAGGACAATCGGTTCACGTTCGTTTATTGCGCACGGCGGAATTTCTGAACTAAATCCGAGCTGAACGGGCTATTCGAGGCGTACCTTCGCTCGAGAGATGGATCGAGCGCTGAGCGTGGGGCCCCAGGGTCGGGCGCGCCGATTGGTCGGGCTGGTCCCCGATCCGGTGGAGGGTCGGCAGGTAAAAATTATACGCTGGCAGGTGAGCAACCGATACGCCACCTGGAACCAGAGAACTCGAGCTCGGCGAGTGGGCTGAGAGATTGTTCGAGAACCGCGTCGTGGCTGCCGATCGACTGCGTGGGCGTCGATGCGACGGCGAGAGGCTGCGGCCCGACTGAAAGGAAGTGCGTGGACGATGGGAACGAGCGTAAATGAGCGCCAGTGTTGAACAGGTCGTGCCCAGAATCTGTTTACGGACTCGCGGCTCTGTGCGACGCTTAGCGACTGACACCTTTTGCTCGGCAGATTTCGGAGCAGAGACAACGGAATAGATTGATTAGATAGATATACGGATGGAAGATGTATTTTTAAATTCTGGGACGCGCCTCTTAAGCGCCGACGTGTGACTGAAAAGGAAGATATTGGCCGCGTGTTTGCAAATATCAAAATCAGTTATAATAGTTGATGCATTAATCGATAAGGGAAGGTCGGAGTAGGTCGACAAACCTGTCCTGCGAAAAATTTATTCCAAAATGACGATCGGGAATTACACAGAGATTTAAAGACAGAATAATGCATTTTACGTACCTGCAAAAATATGACGCTACAGCGAAGATAACGCGTTATTTTAAAAATGTGATAAAGATAAGATAATGACAATAGAAGTTAGGTACGAGTTGCGAAGCACACTCCACGTTTCACAATGCACGATAAAATACTCCGACGTTTGCAATCCGTGATGAATGACGATAATTGCGTATCGAAAGTAATGTTAAAATACTTTTTATTTTCCAAAGTACTATATATAATTTTTTTCTATTTATCAAACTAATTAAGCGCAGCGTGGAAATCTATATGATGAGATATTGGTTGATATTCCTGCTAGTCTATACAAAAATACAGATGTGGCTTACAACTGGAAACTTATACGTATATTTTGTGGGTAAATATTTGTACGAATCTTATTACGCCAATGAGAAATTATATGGTCTGTCATCTGTCGGCAACCAGCACAGTATATTGAAACTATCCTGGACGATCAAGAATAATCTGAGCTAAAAGCGTAGACAAATATTCTGAAAGACATAATATTGACGTTAAACTCGGAAACTCATACTACGTATTGCATATTTCGTAGCCTAGGCAATTAGAATAGAGTTCTCTAAATAATTTATGAACGTTATTTTTTTCCCGGCGGTAAAACTCCCCAAGACTCTCACATCGAACGTCATTTGGACGTAGCCCAGTATTTACACACGATACGGTAACGTAAACTTAAAATAGGTCAGATAAGATAATAACTTCACAGTCATTGCAAATAGGCTGCCACGTCGCGAACTCTGCGGTGTGTAAAATTCAATTCATTCAATGTGAAATTATTGAAATACTTCTTTTAAAGATAATCAATATTTTCATTGATATAGAAGATATCAGATATGAATCTCCAATAATGAAGAAATAGAAAAACATAATAAAAATATGTGAAGAGATAAAATTAGATCAACATTTTTGTTCTTCTTAATACGTAAAGCTTATGCAAATAAAGTCCTCTTCCTACAAGAGATTTAAGTGATAAATATTCATCATAATACACATAACAATCTTGCGATATACAGGGTGAGTTTTAGCAGAGAGAAATCTGAAAGCGGCCACGCCGGCGTTTTACTTGATACCGTTTTCTTCAACTGATTCCAGCGCTTTACGCCCATTTTCATTTTTGGAACTATTCTGCTACACCTATTTTCAAGCACTGCCGATAAAGTCTCCACTTGGTGCGTGTCCGTGCTACACCCATTTTTAAGAGTTTTTTTGCAACTTTTATTATTGTATGTATATACATATAATAAATATATAATAAAAAAATATATAATAAGAATTATAATATATGTTATATGTACATAATTAGGAAAGAGACAATGGAATCGATTCATGGATAGCCTCAAAAAGCGAAGAGTTTTTTCGACGTGGTATTCGTATGCTGCCAGAAAGATGGGAAAAAGTAGTGGCTAACGATGGACAATACCTTGAATAAATTATATATGTACAGTTTTTCACAATAAAGCTGCAATTTTTCCAAAACATCCTTTAAAATTAATTCACACTCCTGATACTAGATTAAAAAATCAGATAAATGAACAAAATTACCTCAGTAAAGTTAGTATTATGCTTGGTCCAGAATATCTGATTCCATTGTTGCGTCTTTTTCATAATTATGTATGTACATACATACATACGTATAATATGTATACAGGGTGAATCTTAATGCCTGCCCCAGCCTTTTACCATGAGAAATGGATTGCCGACTGCAATTTTAGTTCACCGAACGGCACAAGAGGGCAGCTGCTTAGATCTCATGCCCTTTCTACACCTAGGGATGATCCTACTTGTGGCTCATTCGATACCCCTTCTATACCTAAAGCTAATCCTACTTGCAGCTTATCTGAGGGAGTAGTATAAAGTGTAAAAGGGTACACTGTGGTTGGTTTCCAATCGTACCAAAGTACAACTACAGTGTACCCCTTTACACTTTATACTACTCCCTCGGATAAGTAGCTGCAAGTAGGATTAGCTTTAGGTATAGAAGGGGTATCGGAGCCACAAGTAGGATCATCCCTAGGTGTAGAAAGGGCATCAGGGATGTTGCAGGCAAGTTGAAAACTTGTTCCACTTACAGATATCACGCGGAGAAAAATAATTTGCTAGCACAGTATATCTTATGTAAACTTAAGTAAAGAGTGACTGCAAAAATCGCCTCTTTTGCGGCCCTCGATTTCGGGATCGATTCATACGCGAATCAACTCCTTATGATAAGATATTAATAGAAAAAAAGTTTCAATTGAAACTTCATAATATCTTATCATAAGGAGTTGATTCGCGTATGAATCGATCCCGAAATCGAGGGCCGCAAAAGGGGCGAAAAACCCGTCCTTTTTACAGTCACTCTTTGTTCATGTTTAGTGCAAGTTGCAAATGTTACTCGAATTGTGATAACTCATGAGTCGCGCGGTTGTCCGTCGATACGACGGGATCTGTAGACCCTGTACTCTTCAGTGAAGAGCTGTCCTCTGCTGAGAGCGAACAGAATTTTAAACAGCCGCTAAAAATATTCCTCAACGTAATTTCTTCACTATCACGTCTCGATAAAACAGAGAAGTGGATTTAATTGTCTGTTCAACCGTACTGATATCTCGCGCAAGGATGCTTGATTTATCGTAAAATGAAGAAGACGAAAAATTAATAGTTGCGAAAAGAGAAATGAGAAACCGAAGTGTTGGAAAATGTTCTTATCTCACGAAAAGCTTCCCTCGAAACTCCAACTTCACTCTAATTCAGTTTCTGTTGGTCTTGCATCACCGACCAAAAAATTGTTTTATCTGGTTTGAACACGCTATCGCGCGAACCAACGGTTCTTATCAGATAAAAGGTTTCATATTTGTGCATACCACTTCGCCGACGATGATGTTGTTAGGTGTAATAAGACACCAAAAATTCATATACGTATTCGTTTGATTCAAATGATATTTTCTAAATTAGAAAACAGAGCAACGCGATTTAATTATGCGACTTCACACGGTATTCTTTAACTCGTTTAGAATCGTATAGTAAAAATTTGAGCGTACTTTTATTAATTTGTTTTAAACTAGGGAATACTATTTAATTGTCAATACCGTGGGCCATTAAATAGTTTTAAACCCGTTTGTTTCTTTACCTAATAAATTTGCTTGTTCACTTTATCTCGCTAGTAAAGCAGACAAAATAAAAGAAAAGATGAAGTAATTGTTTCATGCAACTTTAATGTTTGATGCGAATTATACCTGTAATACTCTCATATTTAGTATATAGAGGAAAATTGTGAATTGATAGCACTATAAGTAGAAGAGCTATGAATTTTACAGTATCGTTGTCTAAGGATTTCAATAATTTTATACGTATTTCTGCGTGTTTTCCGCAAAACCACATATGTGCGATATAAAGATGCCTCTAAGCGTGGCCTTAGATTCACAGTGCGTAAATTTCTTTCCACATGAGGGTCTCCGTACGATATCTGCTATTAGCTTTTTCCTTTTACCTCAAAACTATCGGCCGCGCAACGCAATGTGTCTCTCCGCTCTCATATTACGGAACGGCAAATATTTAATGATCCCTTTTCCTTGCGAAAAAAAAGAAGAGAGCAATCGCTGCGTTCATGGACGAGGGAAACGAAACTTCATTGCAAAAGGCAAGTGCGATAGTAAGGGCATCAACGGTGACGCTGGAATGGCGATCGATGGTGGCAATTTATTTATGATTCCGAGAAAATAATCCCCTCCCATACTTCCCCTCGCGTCCATGAAATAGGCCCGCGGGTTTGAGGTCCCAAGATCACAGTTCCGAGAACTTAAATATCACTTTAACCTTGTCTCGATACGCAGCATTGTTGCAGGGCGTCGCAAATGAACGATGCAAATTTTTATGCAATTAATTTATTGCGTCATGCTCGAAGCTAATTCCTCAGAGCTAGTGTGTAGCATTATTCCCCCTCTTTGTTTTTGTATCAAATTGTCTCTAATCATACAGTAGAAAGGGAAATTTTTTTAAATTTAAAAGGTTACAGTTTTCTAAATTATCTACAAATACATTTTGGAAGTATACACGGAAAGAACAATGTAGCTGCTGTAGCTAAAACTTAGCAAAATAGGGACAGCTAATATTTTAGTTGTGGTAGCAAACGGTTTGCTGTCGCACCTAATACAATAGGCACAGTAGCAAAATATTGAGCTATCACAACTAAAATATTAGCTGTCCCTATTTTGCTAAGTTTTAGCTACAGCAGCTACATTGTTCTTTCCATGTATTAACTTATATGTGGCTGGCGTTTTTATTGTTTGCTTTTCATTGATTTCTTTGCTTCTACGATAATTTAATCGGCGCGCCGCGCATTGTGCGATGTCGCGCGGTTTATACATAGGCGCTCTCTTCTTTTTATTATCTCTGACAGGGTCACTCTGCGAATCTTCTTTTTATCAAAGTGAATGCATGTTTCGTAATGATTAGCCGCGTAAATTTATTCGAGATTTATTTTTTCACCGTCTCTTCGCTTGTATCATCGTTCCCTTTTTTCGTACGAAAAATTTAACATTATTGAATGATTATTTTAAACCTGGATCACTTTGTTTTTTTAA